TGCTTACACTGTATGCAGCAAACACCCTTACAAGTCAACCAGCAATCTGCTCACGCGAAAAAGGACCCAACACACAATCGCCAGAGGAAAGAAAACAAAACAAAAAAAAAAAAAGGGGGGGGGGGAAAGGAAAAAAAAATTAAAATTAAAGAGTAGGTGTTTGGGAAGAGAAATTGCAGCCCTAAGGACTGAGTGTCTGTGGGTAGAGCTGAGCAAGAGGATGCACACGACTAGCAGCAACAATAGTGGAAAAAGTACAAGGCAAACGGGTTCCCTCCCCCATCAGCTTTCCTCTGTAAGTCGATTTTCTATCCAAAACATTTATTATGGTGACTTAGAGGAAAAAAAAAAAAAATTAAAAATCCTGGAATCATTTTAAAGGGGGTGTGAAATACTTCATGCTAGGCAAACCTTGTTATTAAGAACCCTGCGAGGGGGCAGGTTGGCTGCAGCCCTGAGAGCTGGCCCGAGAGCAGCCCCCTCCCCTGGCTGAGATGGGGGAATGGGGAAGGGAAAAAAAAACAACCCCAGAACTAAGAACCAACCAAAAAAACCCCAAAGAGAAGGCAGAGTGGGGAGAGCGGGGCGGGCACGGTGGGAGAGGGAGGCGAGGGCCCTGCGAGAAGCGGGTTGACGAGGGGACAGTGCCTACTGCTACACCGGGGAGAGGAGAGACACCCACGAGCAAGCACGAATGAGAGATCACGCGGCATGGCTTAGAGTTCCTAATAACAAGGGCAAGACGGTAACAGGAAATTGTGATTTCAAGGGGCTTAATAAGAAAAAATATACATTTGGAATTTTACAATGCCTTTTTTTTTTTGTTGGATTTTTTTCGTTTTGTTGGATTTTTTTGTCTTTTTTTTTTTTCTTGTTGTTTTTGCTTCTCTCTACACTTGTCACTAAATATATCTCTGCACTTTCACACACCCACCCCTCGCCCAGTAAAGCTTCAGGCCTGCAGGACACGCTTTCCTCACTCGCATACACAACCCTCACGCCAGCACCGGTGCACCAGGACTCTGTAAAAATTTCAATCACACTTTTTTTTTTTCCTTTTTTTTCTTTTTTTTTTTTTTTTTTAATTTTTTTTTAAACTCGAGTCAATATAAACCTTGTTCAAAATGTTATGAAAAAATGTACATGTTTATACAAGGCAGGCTGCAGCAGAGCGCTGGCGTTCCACGCAGACATTCGGGTAGGGAGACGCTGGATTCTTGCACCTGGCTTATGCCCTTCCACCCCCTCCCATGGAAACAGAAGCACCCTGCCCCGGTGAGCTCAACAACCCCTCCTGTTCCCTCCTCCCTCGGGACGTGGAGTACGGCCCAAAGCGAGAGCGCCGCAATCCAGCCCTGGGGAAGAGCAGGGATTAGAAACGCCCTCTTTTCTTTCCATCGGAAACGGTAACCCCTCTGGGCCAGGCCAAAGAGATGCTGCTCTGTACAGGTGGAGTTGGGAGACGTCAGCTCATCATGTCGTTGCTGTTCACGCCGTAGGTGGAGTTCTTCATGGAGTCGTTCACCTCTCGCCTGAAGGCCGACAGGTTTTGCGTGAACCTAGGGCAAAAGGCAGAGCACGTGTCACGGGGCAGGAGGCTGCTGGTCCCTCCCGCGTTTCACGGGCTCGGCGCGCCCGGGGAGGGCTCAGCCCCGCGCTGACCTGTCCCTGTTCTTGGTCAGGAGGTTGCGTTCGATGCCTTCCATGAGGTTCTCAAAGCAGAGGTGCATGGCCTGTTGTTTCTCCGGAGGCTGGCTGTTCACTATACTGTTCCTCAAGTCGGAGAAATACTGGGGAAGACAAAGAGAAGGACGGGTTCATTGTCAGATGAATGGCCACCGTGGCTTTGGGACAGAGCACACCTGCATGATGCCTCTTCCCCAGAGCCAACACATTACAGCTTTTCAGGTGAATTCCAGCGCCCTTACGAGTGAAGGTGAATAGGATTCCTTAAGGCCAGGGCTGGACACCCCTCCCTGCACACACAACCTCTCCAAGTCCCAACCTGTTCTGCTCCCTCCACCCCAACAGCTCCAGCATTGTCCAAGCCCTGCCAGCTGCGAGGGGACAGTGGGATATTTACCTTTTCATTGAGCAGTATCAAGCCAAGCAGAGGCCGAGACATTGACCACTGGTTCCTGCAGTCCTCAAAGATGATGATATTCAGCACTGTCGACAGCATCTGAGAGAGGGAAAATGTTTCCCAGAAAGAGTGATCAGAGAGTGGAACAGGCTGCCCAGGGAGGGGGGAGTCCCCATCCCTGGGGGGGTTTCAGGGCCGTTGGGATGAGCTGGGGGGGATGTGGGGTAGGGGAGAACTTTGTAGAGTCAGGCTGAGGGTTGGACTCGATGATCCCGAGGGGCTTTTCCAACCTGAATGATTCTGGGATTCAAACCAGCCCTGACATCCCAGCTCTCCCCTCACCACGTGCAGGCTCAGGAGCAACGATTCACCTTTGATGCTTCCAGTGTCAGAGCCTCAACGCTGCAGAGCTCTGAGCACCGTGGGGCAAAGGGAGGACCCACAAACTGGTGGAGAACTTCACTGAAGGCACATGGAGGAGGTGCTGAAAGCTGTCAGGATATTTATTCCTGACACACTCCATCCTGTCCCAAGGGAGCCAGGGGAAAAAGATTGTCTCATCTTCATTTAAACAAGGTAATAGCAAGTGCTTAAATGTGGAGAGCACAGGCTCTGGTGCCCTGGGGAACTTCCTCGAGCCCACACTTGGGGTGTCTGTGTTCCCCTTCCACAGCCTCCTTAGGCTAAAGCCAGTATCTAACCTAGCTGGTTTGGAAAATGCAGTTTCTCTTTTTATCCTCAGGAAAAAAACCCCACAGCTTCTAGCCCTCAAAAAAAGCCTGCTTTTCTTTGCATTTCATCTACCAGCAAGGGCGGAACAATACTCCCCGCTTTGACGTGGGAGTCGTGCTGACACTTTGACAAGTACCAGCGAGCGAGGTTGGGGAACAGCGTCAGGGACGCTCCGAGCACGGCGCCACGGCCCAGAGTTTTGCTTTAAGATACTGAGAGGCAGCTCCCAATTCAGGGCCCTCTGCAGCACCAAAACCTCCGTGACCAGGATCATCTGTCGTTAAGTTTGACACTGAGGTGCTTAAACTACATGGTATATGGTGAGTTATGCCAGACCTAAGCAAGGAAAATGTCTCGGCTCACTCCTGATCCTCTGCCACCGCACACGCTCCTGAGCCAGAGGGAGGACAAATCCCAGGAAGCTCCGTGTCTGTCAGAGATGTGGATGAGGGCAGGAGACAGATGGCAGATGTGCTGCCAGCATGTAAAGAATTCCATTATCGAATTCAGCCCGCAGAGCCCCTTCTGAAGGCAGGCACAAGCCATGCCAAGGCAACACGTGCTCGCTCAGGCCACAAACCCACCTTCAACATGGTGCCACCAAGAGCGTCTCGGCACAGACCAGGCCCTGACAAGTGTGGGGACCCCAAGGTGCTGGCTCTGCTGTGAGTGCATGTGGATTCCCAAATTGTTCCAGGGGCTTAAACAAACCCTGGGGTTTTTATAAAGCAGAACAGCGCACGCTCTCTGTTGGCTTCGTTTCTATGAATTGCCAGCACTGCCTGTAACCATTTCTCTTTAAAAAAAAAAAAAAGAAAAAAGACAACGACAAACACTCATTTTTGGCTACTTCCGTTCATACTGGAAATGCAAAAATGGTGTTTCTTGCACAGAGAGAACCGTCGCCCTGAAGCACGGCTTTGAATCAGACCTACCATCTGATGAATGCGTAGGAGAGCTGCAATACTAGCAAAAAAAAAAAAAAAAATCCTTTTTGCTCCGGAAAAAGCCTGGGGCAATAGAGCAGGGAGCATGCAGCCCCCGTATTACATCATGCTAAGGAAATTCAGAGCTTATCGGGGAGTTTATCTTGCCAGGCCACAACAAGGCCCTTGGTCTTTACCTGCTGAATCATCTCTGGGTGCTGCTGCATGATGTGCAGGAAGCGGTCGCTCTCCTGGGTCAGAGGTGTGGTCCTCTTCTTGGTGCTGCGAGAGAGCTGCTTGAAGAGATACGTCACGATGTGGTCCAAACAGGAGCAGCAGCCTGTGCAAACCATGGTGTCTGCAGGAACAGGAGAGGGGGAGCTCCTGGGGCACTGCCAGCACTGGCCTTGCACCCCCACAGGCTCCCAGGGAAACAGCAACATTTATCTGGGGCCTTGGAGGGACTTTGCAAGCAAGAACCCCCTAACCCTAAACAGGTCAGCACCGACAGATTAGCTATCTCTAATCTTCCAGCCTTAACCATCCACTTTAAAACTCCTCCACCCATTCACCAGGTATATCTTAACTTACCCACCACACAGTCAAAGCAACCCAAATCTCCCCCCACTTCCAAACCAAAGCCCTGAGAGCACAACAGAGAGCAGGAGGAGTTACCTAGTGCAGTGAGGCCTTCTGAAATGGAAGAGAGAATATACATGATTACATGAGGCTCCAGACTGGCTATAAAGTTCATGTGGTCCTGGGTGAGAACTTCCAGCAAAGAATAGTATGACTGGCTGAGCTTGGGATAATCCTGCAGAGAAAGGAAGAGAGAAAGACTTTTAAGGCCTCGTGGCTGGTCTGCAACTATCAGTTAAGGCTTTCTGCTAGACCCAACCCATTCATTAATCACCTGAAAACTGCTTACTGAATCTCCTGGACAGAGAACAAACCAACCCTCTCTGCCAGCATAATCTGTGGGCCAACATATTTTCCACCCTTCTCCCCCACCAAAAACCTTCCCAAGAGGCTCTAGCAACAATGGTCCAGCAAGTTCCCAACACTGTTCTAGCAAAACACCTTTCCCCACTGCTTTGCTCTTTTCCAGGCAGGGAACGTTAGCTGCCCAGTGCCAGTGCTGGAGATGCAGAGGTGGGACTGGCTCCCCAGGTGTCCATGCAGAGTGTCAGATCACAGAAAAATCGACACAATCAGAAAAACTGACACTGCAGTCAGAGCCACGGACCCCCCAGCAGCAACCTGTGCACATGGGGGAACCGCTGGGAGTCCTACAGAGTGGCCCCATCTCAAGAGCTGCACGTCTCGAGAGCAAAGGTTTGGCCACGGGTGTGTTAAATAAATTAAGAACGTGCTGAACGCAGTCATAGAGATGGCAACAACTTCTTTTAGGTCCTGCTACAGTAACGACAGATAAAGACTTGTGAGGAATACATGCTGCCCTCTCTCCTCGACAGTTTGCCAAGTAGGACTGTGCTGATAAGTCTCAAAGCTCTGCCACAAAATGGGTTTCTGTACACGAGGTCTGGACAGGAGCAGGGCTCTGTAGGTGGATGTCTTCAGCAAGCAGGTTGCATTGGAATTGCTGATGCATCGAGATCTCTGCCCGCAGGCAAGACAGGGAAGAACAATCCTTCACTCACAGGAAGTGTTTGTCAGATAGAGGAGGAATTATTTTGGTAATTGCTCTGCTGAGACTGGGGCATACCCCACAGGAGGGCTGATAGCGAGGCCCTGGGTGCTGGGGTTACAGCCCCGGCTCAGGACCTGCTGCTGCACATTCCAGCTGTAATTTCTTGTGCCATAGCTGCAGTTCCAGGAAGCAGCACAAGTTCACTGGCCTCCATGATTAAAGTATTCCTTTCCTGTTTAATCTTCCACCCCTGTCTTCCCTAGCCACGTGTCTACATGCTCACCACGGGGGTTGGCTTACCAGGAGGTCACTGTGAGGGATGGAAAGCAGAAGCTTGATAAAAGTTTGCAAGGCATTGTCCAGTGCATCATCCCCGTACAGACGGAAGACCCCAAAGTTGACGTAGCTCCCGCTCAGCGCAGCCTTCAGCATAGAGAAGCAGATGGAAATCCCCTTGAGCTTCAAGGCATAGACTTGATCCTTTGGGACCTCCCCAAGCGTCAGGATACGATTTCCTGCGGGAGCACAGAAGCAGACTCAGTATTTCAGCAACCACATCCAAACCCCTTCTCCCCCAGGGTGCAGGAAAAACCAGAAGTCGAGCCATAAGGAGCGACTGAGAAGTCAACCACAAGCACCAAAGATTTACTCCCCAGCTGAAGGTTACGGAACACGTTACAAGTTAAAAGTGTGGCTCTACTATGGACCAACTGCATGTAATTTTGCTGCAGAAACAGGACAGCATAAGGACGGGATTGCTCTCTGCTGGCTTCACAGGTTCACCTGTGGCATCTTGCACACTCACAAGGGGCTCGGCTGGACTCCTACTCGTTGCCCTCATTTTCTCCCTCATTTGCCTGGTGAACACCCTTCCCCTTCTGCTTGCCTGCCTCCCCCCAGCACTTCAAAGCAGAAGCATCTCCCCGTATCTAAGTGTGCATTCAGCAAGCGATCTGGCACTGCTTCCCAGCCTGGGCTTGCTCTCGGAGCTGGCAAGTGGCCCAGCCCTCGCTCCTGGAGCGAGTGGAGGAGCTGGGGGCAGGCCGAGGCTGCCCGGATCCCACCTGCTCGACACTCACCATACGTAGTTATCATTTTACTCGTTTCTCGGAAGAGCAGGATGCCGTTCGGTGAGGACACATCGAACTGCAGCCGTTGGGATCTAACGGGAACACAGGGAATAAACTGGAGCTCAAACAATGGAGTAAAACCAAAGCTAACACTCCACCACCTCCACACCCTGCTGTGGCCTGGGGCACCCTCCTCCCAGGGCTGCTCCCCAGAGTTCAACAAAACACCCTGGGCTGGCAGAAAACACTTCTGTTTGTTACCAACACCAGGCAGGACACAGCGACTTTTAGGGACAGAGGAGCTCTGCTGTCACAGAAGAAAGGGCCTGTATTTCACAGACATGAGGAATATTACAAGATCGAGGCTGGAAATCCCATCTTGGCAATAGTCACTAGGCTACTGTACACAAACACAGCGAACATCTTGGAAGCAGCATTGTAGGGCAGTTGACTGGCTCCTATTGACAACGCAACCAAGAATTCAGAGCTTGGCACTTTTTCCCCTACAGTGAATAGATCTTACAATTGAAGTGCAGCGAGTTGTCCAGATCACCTCCGAAATAAATGAGTGGCCGTATTCCAGTAAGGATTGTCCTGCTGCAAAGATGCCACTTGGATGTGGCAAACAGTCTGACAGCACAAGGAGTCAACTCTCAAATGACTGTGCCTGAACCTCGTGTCCCTTCCACTCGGCTGTAACAACGGTCCCTTCCTACAGGGTTGTGTTCAGCTGGCTGCAGGCCAGAGCAGCGTCTTGGCAACCCTCCACAGCCAGCTCAGACAGCTTCTGAATTATCTGAATCGCGTCAGAGGTACCTCTCTCTATTCGGCAAAAAGAGCTGATGCTCTAAAGCAGAAGTGGTCATCTGGCTGCCAGATAGAACAACGCTCGTTTTAAACACAGGTTTTTAAAAATTAACGTGAGTTGCCTGCCTCCATCTTGTTGTGCTGTCCTTGGAAGCAGACGCTGAACAAATTCACTGTTTATTGATCGTGTCTCTTGGTCTGAGTCATGACTTGACTGATACCTGAACGGGTGGATTTTCTTCCCTACTGAAACAATGCCAGTTCTCCCCCTCCCTGCCCGCCTTGGCAGCCTTTATAGCAGAAATAGACTGAAGTAGAGAAAACACAACTGGGCACTGACACCCACACAAGGCTGCAGCAGCAGACAGACACAAACCCCCGCCAGCTCTCTTGAGGCTGGAGGTTCATACCTGTTATGTACCAACTCAGCCATCAGTTTGAGGACAGGTGTAGTGCAGGCTGGGTCGTGGTACCAGAGTTCAATTGCCCGCTGTAGGATTGGCATGTAAGATGGGTAGCTGCAAGGGAGAGCTAAGGAACTTTGTGGCTTTTCATGAAGAAAAAAGGTCACAGCTTCTACCAAAAAGTGTATTTTGTGTCTTGCACCCAAACAGCTTGTTTAATAAGGTTAAAGAGCTGCTTGCTGGGGTCTGCTTTACCACAGGAAAAAAAAAAAAAAAAAAATCTTGAGTTTGTTGGGATTGCATACACACTTCTTATACTAGGACAAACAGAAACAAAAAGGTTTTAAATGAAAGAGAAGACAGATATACAGATCTGTCACTGCAACAGACAGCTGACCTTCACCAGCCAAAGAGCAATCTGGAGCCCAGATATGGTGCTCTTTGAGCAGCTATGCTCTCACCAAGAGGACAAAGATACCAACTGCTCTTGGCTCTAGTGAGCAAGAGGAGAGCTTTTGTCGCTGCTGAGACATCAGCAGCCCATTAAAGGCCTTTGTGCTTTACAGGTCAAATTGCTTTAAGTCCAATCGGAAAAAAAAACAACAGTTCAGCTTTAAGCAGATTTCTAGGTTGACTTGGTTGCAACCAGACCAAGTTAAATCTATTTTAGGGTTTACAGACAGGACACCGAGTTCTGTAAAAATGAAGAGAAACCCCCAGTCAGGATTTAGCAGGGAAAATAGGGCATTTGGATTCAGCCAGAGCTCTCCCCTCTGACAGACAGAATGACTCAAGTTTTAGGGCAACAGAAGGATACATCCACTCAAACAGCATCATGAAGCTGGTCTTGGCATTGAAGGCAAAGGCTATTCCCCTCAAGTCTCTCACCAAACCAACCAAGGTTCTCTGTATTTCAAAAGGAAAGGTATGTTAAAACACACCACATGTACAGATCTCTCCCTCCCTGGCTCCAACCAGCCCCTTCCCTTCCTCCCACCCCAACAGCAATCCAGCCGTTCAGTGCTGGATGCCAGTCCCAGGTTTGACAGTTCTTCCTCTTCAGTGCCAGAAACCCTCCTGAATTTGAGCCAGCACAGCGACAGCACTGGGGTACTTCATCCCCAGCAGAAGGAAAGCTGGCAGATGAGGCTCACTGCTGCTGTTATGAACCCTCAGACCCCAGGGGGTACAGGGCCCACCACCACAGACACCGAAAGGGAAGCACCCATTGCTCCAGCGTCTCCTGGTCACATCTGCCCTGTTCAGAGGGCAGAACAGCTCTCACTCTGCAGGAGTTACTCATTCTCTCCTGCCTGTCTGAACCAAAAAGGTCAAAGCCCCTATGGGAAAGCATAGCGAGAGCATGGATAGGGGGGAAGGTCCTGCCCAATTACTTTTGCCTCTTGTTCATTGAAAGTATTTGTGCTGAACATCTGTGCCACGGTCTCAAAGGCAGCTGTGAGGGGAAGCATGAATTGCTCATACTGATCCTCATCTTCCCCTGAAAGAAAAAAAAAAAAAAACAAATAGAAATCAGGAGGAAGTAAGACTGCACATCCCTGCGCCCTGCAGTTCTGCCTCAGACATCGCTCAGCCACGGAGCTAGAGGCAGAGAGACCACAGCTTTCCCGACAGGTGATCTATCCCTGCCAGTATCTAACTTAGAGAAAAGACTAAGAGCAAACCCTGTCACCTCAGGAAGACATTTTGACTATTACAAATTGGAGCCCCAGTCCTGGCTGTGTGCATCTCTGGACTACCTGTGCCTGTACCCAGCAACATGGCAACAAAACCACTCCTGAGCTTCTTTCCCCTCCTTTTTCTTATCCCATTTGACTTCTCCCATTCCAGCAGGTTTTCCTGCAGAAGCTTACAGCTCCCTGTGTAGAGCAAGGCCCAGCCTACCTAAAGAACCCAGCACCCACACCACAAAATCACCATTTTGCTCTGGTTCCCAGGAAAAGACCTGAGTACCTAAATCCACCATGAGAAGACGTCCAAGTGCAGTGTAGAACGTAGTCCGACATCTCATGTCAGTCAGGTTGGACTGATTGTTAATGCCCAGGAAGGAAAAGTGCTCACTCTGCAAAGGGAAGAGGAGAGATGGGTTAGAGGGGAACCACCACCTTGAACAGGCTCCCGGACCGAGGGCTGAGGATCCCTCAATTCCCCTGTCTAATTCTCAGCCTGTGCAAGGAGGAGCAGCAGGGAGCTGCAGGGTTATCTTGCTAATCACTTCACATCTGCCAGCCATCTCGGCGAGCGTGCCACCAGAGGGCAACAGGCACCGTGCCCACGGCCCCCGAGCACGTCCCATCTGCTGGCAGAGACACCAGCACTATCATCTTTCATCTTGGAATTCCCCAGGACCAGATGAACAAGGAAGTCTTGCTTTGCCTCCAGAGCAAAGAAGCAATCTGCAACCCCTGAACTCGTGGGGACCCTTCAGGCGTTAAGGCTGCTGAAGAGCAGATGGATCCTGAGTTATTTTGTTCACATTCTCCAGGGAATCGTAGCCCCAGACAATGCAGCTTCTGGGCAAAACACAGGCCATGGAACTGCTGCAAAACAGCCTCCAGCTCAAGGAGTATAGCACCTCACTCAACCAGCCAGCGCAGACCTGTGGCTACAGCGCCGGAGCATCGAGTGACCGCACGCTCCAGAGGTGAGTCAGAAATGTGACACTTTGCTGCTGACTTCTAATCGCTCATTCGACCATTTCTGATTTCAAGGCAGCGTCCCAGATCCACACAGGGTAGTGACCAAGGAACAAGGCTGCTACCCCGACCGCTGCAAGCGATGGCACTTCTTCCAGATCAGCACTTCTTAGAATTAAAGCCAGGGACACCAAAATGCTGTTACACTTTCCATTAAATTGCATAAACGGTGCTCGCTGCTGTCTGCCTGCATGTGCAGCACCATCAGCCCTCTCCACATTTCTCAGCCACCAGAGGGAGGTGGCTGTCTTTCAGTGGGGAGAAAAGAGACCCCCACATTAACCCTTCGGGGATAATTACAGCCCCTCAAAAATCAAAGGGCAGGCTTCGAACAGAGAGATGGAACACGGATTTCAGTTTCTAGAGGCTCATCTAGTATGTCAGAAGCATCTGGGGAACAAGTAAACTTCAAAAACGTGTCCAGATGTTAAAACTAGGCGATCATCTCAGCCGTACAAAGGCAGATGGAGGAGTTTTTGCTGTGAGACAAGAAGCAGAAGGTGAAAGGACTTACCGTGTGATTGTTCAGCATGAACTGTACGGCGCTCAGTTTCACCAGCTTTCTAACGCTGCTGTATGTAAAGGGGGTGTTAAGGAAGCAGCAGAGTCAGCAGAAAACTTCTTGCAATGCTTGCAAAGCACTTTCCAGGGCAAAACTGAAAGGGGACTCTTACGTCTATATTATTCAATATGTTCTAATCTCTCTTCCATTTGTTTCAAGAGCAACCAAGTTGCTTAAATCTCTACAGTTGAGACCTGTAGAGACCATTTTCATTTACACTGTCAGGAAGAACAAGACGACGACTGTAAGACAGAACATGACTGTGAATTGTGACAGTAAGTTACCAAGCAATTACAAACCAAAATGGTGACGGTAAGTTACCAAGTAATTATGATTGAAAATAATAAAACCCCCCTACAATATTATAGCCATCTACTGCAATTCAACAGCTAGGTAAGACGTTGACCAAGCACTTGCACTCTGCTCTTCTCACTACCCAGAAGATGAAGCAGTTCAGGAAGCTGGTAGATGCAGAGTGCTCCTGTTCCGGCCGAGCATCTGGGTCACTCTTCCCCCATGCTGAGGTTTAAGTGTTCTGTGCACCCAACAGCTCTTCTGAAAAGGATATCCAATGGAGAGGTCATTGAGCAGCTGCAGCGTCTTGGAGGTGATAGGCTCGCATCGGCCCCAGTACTTCAAGTTGGTGATGCTAGGGAAGAGGACAACAAGGACGGATCAGAGGGGTTTGCTCAGCTTCCCCTTTGCTGTGCGGCGGATTCTTCCAGTTCAAAAGTGACCCAACATCATCAGCTCCACCCTCCACCGAAACCACAGACATCACAAGCCACAAAATATTGGTATAAAATTACTGTACTTACATTTGGTTGACTAGAAAATTATCCTTCAGATAATCTTCACTACTTGGGTCCCAAGCTACACTGGCCCATACCCAGGCCCTTGGAATTCTGTGGCACTCCAGGGCTGGTTTCTGCAGCAAGGGTAAGAGAATTCTGCGGCAGTGACTACATGCAGACGTATGCAATTCTGCACCTGCACCATCCACTGTCAGCTGCAGAATTCTAGTAGCCCTTGCTTCTTCCAGGAGAGCCATTTGACCCCTTGGGGATGACGCGCAGCCGGGGCGCGTGAGGGCAGGCAAGGCCCCGGGCACCTAAAGAAACCAAGGGGGAGCTAACGGCTGCACGGCACCAGGCGCACGGCACTGGGCGTCAGCGTCGAGAAGCTACTGAATTGGTTCAAAATGCTGCCAAAAACATGACAAAAAAGGGCAGTCGACAGGTTGGGTCCAGAGAGCTGCCAAGGAAAATGCCGAATCGGGTGCCTACCAGAGTGGAAGAGTTTTAAGAAAAGGACTTGCGCTACTCTGGTACTGAACAGCAGAATTTGCAAAGAAAACCTTTGAAGGAGCAGTCCCCTCCCCACAGAGCTTTCGTGGCTGGTGATTGCCAAGAATCAAGTGATAGGGCACGAGTGCTTGAGGCTGTCCCCTCTCTGACTTTGGTTCTGCTAAGCAGGCACTGGGAAGAGAATCCGTTATCTCGGTGTACAGCTTATTTTTGTGTCTCCACGGTGGATAAATCAATCCTGGATATTGTGTGTGACCTAAACCCTGATAAAAGCCCGTAATTCTCTTGAGAAGCCAGATGATACTAGTTTCAGACTGAACAACACTCCCTCATATTCCAGTTTTCCTGGTTATACCTTCAAATAAACCCTGGAATCTCTGATGCCTGCAAGCAGAAACACTTACATTTTTCCTATGAAGACACTCAGGACCATGGTCTCATCATTCAAGCCCAGGACCTCTGAGAGACGGCGGTAGAGCTGGAGGGGAAAAAATAACACCAATTTAAAAGCTGTCAAAAAAACAAGTAATGGGCAGAGAATGTTTGGTTTTCACTTGTTCTCCCTTTGTGGCCCACACGCCTGGGAGGGCGTATGCTCTGGGCTTTCCCAGATCAAACAAACAAGGGGCTGAGATGCTGCTGATCTGATCCAGACCAATACTTGCCCTGATCACTGATAACTCTTTTCTATCACTAGTCACAGTGGGTTCAGATACTGTACACAGAAGCCAAAACACTTGATTTTTCTAGGGAAAGGGGACGTTAACACTGCAGCTACACACAGTATCTTAGTGTATTTGTCTGGAACTCTAAGCTCCTTGACACATCGCTGCTCTGAAGCCTGTGAGATTGGAGAAGGATGGTCCTAGATTACTGGAAGAGAACCTAATTCTGGAGTAAAGATGTTCTCATTCTTTACGTATTTAATTTAAAAAAGATTTTGCATCTCTAAAGATGCGCCAAGGCATTCAAAGTCCAGTACATCTACAATTGCCTTGTGATGGAAGAGAACAGATACTTATCTTCACTTTAGAGCCGAGGAAGCAAGAATGCCAGGCTCAGGCTCCTTACGGGCGTGCAGGCGGTGCGACTCGCACGCTTTCACAAGTATATGAGCTTAAGGCACTCATTTGAAATTAATAGTCCCTTGAGGGACTCATTTCACAGCAGAAACCTGGCAGATAAGCAAACTGCACCCAGGTCTCAAGTTCTAGGCTTACTGTCATAGTCACTGGCTCCTTTCCGACGCATACAGAACACAGTATTTCAAAAACAGCTCAGGGTTTGCAGTGTTAACACTGGACATGTATCTAGAAAACACAGCAAACAGGTCTCATTTTCAGCTACAAAGAGGAGAAAACAAGCAATGCCACTTGCTTTCATTTAAAAAAAAAAAAAAAAAAAGGAAGCTATTACTGGACTTCGTATCACCAAAGAGATGCAACCAAGGGGACTGATTACCTTGGAAGACTTCTGCACCTGATCTCCAATATAGATCTTCCGGAACTGCTCAAAGAAGCTCAGCATGGCAAGCTCCAGCTTCTCGTTGCCAGCCTGCGCCAGACGGGAGTCCGTCAGGTTCATCAGCTGCAGCACTCTGCAGAGAGGTGGGGAAAACAGGCCTTGCTGATGGGCACGGGGAGGAAGGGGGGATTTCTGGCACATGGTGGTGTTTCCAGGCTGCGTGCCACAGTATTTGTTACTTTCTGTGGGCATTGTCATTTTGGGTCAAGAACTGACAAAAGTGATAACAAAACACTGACTAGGGCACATTCCTCTTCTGTGCAGGGCCGTTATGAGGCTTCTCTATCCTCGTTAGACAGGGATGCAAGGCCTTGGGTTTTAATTTGCTGCAGAAGCGAGTTCTGGGTGCTTTAGCACACTTACCCAGCAACTGTTCTCAATTACCCATCATGTTCTCAAACCCACCTGAAAAAGCACTACCTGCTCCCCCTCAGGAGAGCCAGACTCTAAACAATCCCCCCCACTTCAGTTTGGTTTTTGTTGCGAGCCCTTCAGAAACAATGCTGTGACCTGGGCACGGGCTCAAGCAGCAATGATATTCTTTTTGGCAAGTGCCACAAAGCACAGAGTGGGAAAGAAGATAAAACGTAAGTGGACTTGTGTGAACGTCTCTCGGAGATGCTGTCACTAAAGGCAGCTGAAATACAGACGGGGTCTCACCGTCTCCCCTTCAGCAGCACAGCAGCTGTGCGGGAAGCCAGTGCTCGACGTTATTTCCCGGCTCACCACCCGGCCAGCTCCCACCCATGCACAGTTTGGATCTCTTACTACCCTGGCTTCCAAGCAGAGCAATTAGGCTCTGGACCACAAAGCCTTCAGCGAGACTCAGGGTTGGTCAGGAGCTGTAAGCTACATGTTCTCACACCCATCACATAAAGCTTTGCACTGGAGAGGATTTACAGTCCCGAAAATCCAGCACGTGTTAGACATTATAAAGTTTTAACAGCTATAAGAGATCTACAATATTCACAGTGTATTTATGGACAAAATCCACTTTGGATTATTAATTAGGAAAAAGACTTTTCCCCCCACCCCAGCAGAGAACCATCATGCATTTAGTTCTACTCCAATGCATGCAGTTAAGCCCGGTATAAATTCCCCTCTCACATGCTCTTCCCCTCTCACTCTCTTTCTTATAACCTCAGATTTCCCAATTTAACCAAGTCGCAGCAGAAGTTTGCTGCCGGGCTCTAGCCCGTGCCACCAATCTCTTCTTTCAGGACGGCCAATTCCACAATTTCAGTGAAAAAGAGGGGAAGAACATGGCGGCAGCTTCACAATCACAATTCTTTTGGTGACTTCAACAGCAGTGCAGCTAGAAAACAGTCAAGTCAGCATCCCTACCGACAAACCAACTCGCCATCCATCGCATCCTGCTCATCCGTGCTGGCGAACGAGACCCTACCACCAATCACTGCCCCGATAATATAGACGAGCCACGTCAGGCGCCCTGAAACCAACAGAGGACATCAGAACCAAGCACGTCACACCCCACCCGGAGGAAGCTGAGGAGATCTGCATTTTCTTTTGGCAAAGACAGGATTCACAAGGAGTACCTCTCTGCTTCAGTGCCTATCTATATCAAAATTACTCAATTTTTCACTTGGTGGTGAACAGGTATGACTTTTACTAGAAAAGAAACAAGAATGCCAGGTCTGCCTGGAAGATTTTCATTATTTAAAGATATTCCACCACAGAAAGCCACTTCCTTGTACAACTATGTTCTGTGTATTTAAACATGTGCAGATGCCAGCAGGCATTGTTTATTCTTTCGAAGTACATATGGTTGGTGGAGAAATCAACATCATACAGAGTTCTGCCCTCCCACATAAAAGAAGTACTGTGTTAGATCAGACAATACTGTTTCAGAATAAAGGAACAGTTTCCATACCTGTGCTGATGCGCCCAGCTCCTCAACAAAATGGGAAGCCAGCTACATTATTAGAGTGGGCATAACAGCTTGGACCTCCAAAAGAACCACTTATTTATGTTTATGAAACAATTCCTAAAACAACCAGCTGTGCAAGCGCAAAACCTCCACGCTGAACCCACCCAGCGCTGCGGACAGACACCCTCCTGCAGACTGTGGCACCAGCTGGAAACCCCACTCCCAGTTACTCATTACCAACAACCAGCTGGAGGTTTCTGCCACAAAGCCAGAGGGGAGGTTCAAATGAGCACCCTGTATCCTGCCTTGGACAAGAGAGGGATGGGGAAAGCAGTGCTCATGCCTGGGGATGGGGGAACATCCTCAGAACCTGTCTCTGAAAGACTGCGCAAGGAGATAAACTACATTTCCTCCCCAAAAAAGGAATGGAGTTGGTTGTGGGGCAGTAATATCTTCAGCCAGCACCGCTGTTTGTGTTGGGAGTGTCTGTCCACAGCCAAAAATATTCTACACCACACAGGCACCTCCCCAATGGAAGGTTTATGAGATCTGCCTCCTCATTTATGGATTTCACCAGGAACATGAGCTTTGGAAAGGCTGCTTGTGAGAATGGGCAACCTACTGCAAGCTCACAGGCCACAGTCCTGTGAACACACTCACCTTCTTGTACCGCAACGTCCATGGGGCTGGCGGTGGCACTCTGCAGCAGCTCCTGGTACGACTGGGCTGACTGGTCGAAGAGCTGCACAAGCAGAGCACAGGTCTTCTCGTACTCGCACCGGCCGATGGTGGAGAGCTGATCTAGCTGCTGTTGCACAAGGCCAGTGTCATCCAGTGGATCCTCCAAACCATCCCTAAGCAGCACAAAAATAGCTTAGAAAAGCACTTAAAATGTAGAGACAGCCTAAGCCATAACCCAATCTTGTTTCTATCGGGTAGGGGATGCTTTCCCAGGTGTACAGTGATCCCAACAATTAAAGTCTCTCCCCCTACTTTTTGTCATGACAGAGAGGTACAGAGACCAACAGAATCATCTGACCATTCCTGCGGCCGTAAATCAGAAAAACAGTGGTGGTGCAGGTGGAAAGGCCATCAGGACCTGCGATGAGTACGCTCTTCTAAACGTTTTTAACATTTATTCAGGTCTTTGAACAGAACCTGTGGTGCCATGATCTGTCTGGTTGTCTTTGTATAACAGAGCCTTCCATCTTTCCCGACGTTTCAGTTGCTTTTTCCTCTAAATACACTAACCTCAACAATAAGTTTATTGCAAACTCCAGTACCAGCTAAAAAGTGCTGTTCCTCCCTTGCATTGCTAGATACCTAAAAAAGGGACAAATCAATCAGAATTCCTTGAGAGAGGCATTATATTTTTCTATACTCAAACATTTGTTTTCATCAAATACAAACACACACAAGGTGGAATTCATCCCACACAAATTCAAGCACTGCAGAGTCCTGTAGGCTGCCCCTACACTCAAAGGAAGGGAAAAACCACCCAACACTTTTAGGTATAATGTGCCATCCTACAGGAGAGATCTACAAATTAAGTGAATCACACTTTGCATACTTATTCCTCTCTGCTCCAAGGGCAATTCAGAGCATAAGCCGTATACTGCAGATGTATGATGCTGGGTAAGATGAATTCTACCCATGTCAGAGATCACTCAGATCAATCTCAGCCACTTGAAATTGAGGAAGGTCTAAAAAAATCCCCAGTTTAAAAAAAAATTGTCTCTTTTTTATAAGAGACAGAGTAAGTGATTTAGGTAAGCCTGCCTTAGAAATCCTTTGGCGACTCACAAAACTTCCTGCGGTCGTGGCCGTTTTAAAAAGAAAACTCAGACGAGATACACACCAGAGCCTTCTGCCGTGCCGAGAGGCTCAAGTGCTGCCACCTCTCTGCTTTTCTTACCTCAGTATGATGTGCACAGACTCCAGCCTGGACGTGATGTAAGCTTTTGTGACTTCTGGTGTGTACGTTTCGAGCATGTGAGGCTCTGTGGCTTTAACGTAGGGCACGGACGCAGCCAGCCGCTGCCACAAGCTCAGGAGATAGTGAACGCTGTTGGGAGCAAACTCCCAGTGCTACCAGGAACCATGAGAAAGAAAAGGAGAAGAAACCAGTGCGTTGCAGCCTTTAGATTATTTTACCCAGATTATTTTGACTCACGGAGCACTAGATATAGCAACATCTAAAAGCTTTAGTGATCTGGTTGCCAATTCTAACAATGAATTTCAGTTCACACCTGAATTCAGCGGGTATTAGCAGCATTCAGTAAAGACTGAACAATAAGCCCCAGTTCCTAGGCTGTGTAGCTGAGCCAAAGCCTTTAGTCCCAAACTACTGCCAAGCTCATACTGCAGCGTGCTGCAGACAGCTCCCCAAACAGAATGGAGAGTTTCAAGCTGTTTTCCCGGTAAATATTAAAGTTTAACAAACAAAGGCATTATGTAAACTACACAAGGTTGTTTTTTTTTTTTAAACCATGTTCTGTGCAGGGGTGTAGTTACAAGCTGTGTATCAGCGGAAAGCTCAGTGGGAATATGGCATGATATTCATATTACTAGCAACCCCTGCAACTGCATTTTAATAGTTAAGTGATACACAATTCTAAAAATAAGCCTTATTTAACAAGGTTGGGGTTTTTTTTTCCCCCTGCTAGGACACAGAAAGACTCTGAAGGCATAGCAACCCTGCCTGCCCCCACACACTGCTCCCTTTCCATTCAGTAGGAATTCATGGAATCATCAATGCTACACCGCAGGGTTCTGTCACAGAGTCTGCAGGGTACCTTGGTAAAAATTAACATCCAGTGAATTAAGGGGCAAAGAAAAGACAAGAGTGTTTGTTTCAAGAGAAGACAAGGGGCATAAAGGCCCATCGAGGGTAAGTAAAACCATTTTGTACCTGCAGGCTGGTCACGGTGAAGTTGGCAATGAGTCGGATGACCTCAGGGTAGTTCTCCACCTTCACCAGTTCTCCCAGCTGGTAATTGCTTTTCAATCGGGCCAGCAATCGGCAGAACTCATGGTAGTTATTTGGGTCTGACAAACTCTGAGGAGAAAAAGAGGAGAAAAATTGAGAGTCTGCTAAAAAAGGTGCAGATTTATGGTGGAACAGTAGGAAAAGATGTTGCACCCCCCTCCCCAGAGCCACAAGTGGGGCATGTACATTAGAAAGGATTTTTGCTGAAAACCTTGATGCAGAAGAAGCAGAGACCCAATTCCACCGAGCACATCCGAAACACTCACCTGTGGGTTTTCCAGTATTCGTTTAACTCCATCAACGAGATGAGATAAAAACTTTGCTCTTTCCGCATTGTTGAAGAGGGATCTGCGTACAGAGGCTATCTGCACTAAGCAGGATAAAACCTAGAGGGGACAAAGAGAATAAAGAGAGGGATTAGAACAATAAAATGAACAGCGCGGTTCCTTTTCATGATGCAACAAATCAAACTTAAGTATGATGCTCCTTTGCACGCTACACAACAGCTCCCTCATCTTTGCACTTCTGTGTAAGACCGTAGCAACAAATTACAGCAGAGATAAAAAAATGCATCAACCAAAGGAAGATCTCCATCCTGACAGTCAAAGGTGCGTTCCAAGCTGTGCTCCTAAAAATGCTGGGATTTCTTCAGACAGAGAACACAGACCGCAAAAGACTGAAAATACACTAGGACTGGCAGGGAAAGCTGGTAAACTTAACACAGACTTGGAGACGTATCACAGAAGATAGAAGACTGGCAAGTAAAAAAAAAAAAACCCTAAATTGTTCTTAACCCAAACCTCTGAAATTTAAATGGCGAGTAAATTCCAAGGGTGCAGCTGCATTAATGAGTAACAGGTGGTGAACAGGGTTTTGAAGGGCAGTGGCAGCCAGTTACAACAGCCCTTGGCAGCCCTTATCCAGGGGCAAAGCCCCCTTCTCTCTGACCAGCATAAGGGCTACTGGTTCAACTGGTGAGCCCCTCACTCTTGCTGGCTCTCATTTACTGATCAATGAGGCAGGACAATTAAAAGGTGTAATTACTTCAGATTTCTATGCAGTAACCAAAAAAAAAAAGAAAAAAAAAGTCTCCCACTGTTAGAAGTCTCTCATTAATATCTGAGGCTCTAAATTAGCAAGTAGCCCTTCAACATGACGAACAATGCTGAGAGTCTCAGTGGAAGAAAAAATTTCTGAAGGACCCTTCCCTCCCTCCCTAGCCAAAGGGCATGTTTTCATTGTAGCATTAATTATGAAAAATATTTATCTGATAAATGCCTGGCAGGCCATTTTTTTCCAGAAGAAATAACCCAACTTTTACTTTAAGTCATGCTCTTGGCCATTTCATCCAACTGAGACACAGCCCAGTTCTAAAAGTGTGGAAGGAGAAATTACATTTTTCAGTTGTGCTCCCAGACTCGCTACCTACTCGCAGTATGGTTTTAGGACCAACTTAGCAGTATGGTGGAAATAACAGAAGCTACATACCTCAAAAAGGGCTCACTAAGAGCGAACAGGCAGACTCTAGGCTATGCAAGGACAAAGAAGTAGGTTGGGTTTCCAGCAAACAAGCTGCTCTTAGGTCAAACCCAAAACCTGCAGATGCATCAAAACCTGCAGCAGCAGCAGCACCGGCCCAGCCTCCCCTTTGTCACCACAGCAGAAGGCAGTGCTGGCCAAGTAAAGGCACCTGGCTGAGGGCAGCCCCCAGCATTTCAACCCAGATAAATCCTCCAAACCCCCCCAAGTCTCCCAGACGAATCCTACAAACGCTTTCTGGTAGCGGAGTCTGTAAGGAAAATAAACACTGAACTTACCAGAGGAGAAAACGAAGGAGGGATGGAATGATAAAGATCAAAAAACAACTGAAGGGTCGAAGAATCCAAGAATGCTGAAACAGAACAGAGCATTTTACTGAGATCACCCCCATTTACTGCTTTCCATAGGGTTAATTCTTATCGTAACAATGGCACGTGCACTTGCCACACGAAGTACCACACTGTAAGAAATTTTCCAAAGGATTTGACATTTTTACATAATTACCTTTCCTAGAAATAAAACAAACCCATCGGTACTTGGCACTAAGACAAAATTACAGGAAAATATTTTAAGAACACAACCTGTGAAAGTGCCTGCAAAATGACTGGTGAGAACATAAAGGATGCTGAGAACAGGTGCTGAGTTATTTGTTATTTACAAATAATAAAAAAAACCCCACTCAACACTTCACTGTTTCCTGACTTGGCAGGTGTAACTGGAAGGGTAGAGGAGTGGTTTAGCTCCAGATAGCCAACTCGAACTGAACTGCATTTGTAATCACATTAAGGAAAGGCTGGATTTTACATATGGCATTGTATGCAAAAGTTATTTGTTAAGTGTAGAGAGGGCTTTAGCAGGTCACACATGCTTTCAGCTGGTACGCTGCAGATTAGCCCTCTTCCTCCAGCAAGATTACCTGATCTCCAACTGGTTGGGATCTGCACAGTGCAAAGATCATCTGAGGACTCGTCTGTTGATGTGCCAATGAAATCAAAGTTCAGGCAATTATGCGTGAGCTTAAGAAGCTGCATGAGCAGACCATGCTGGCTTTCATCATTTAGATTCAGGTTCTTCCCAGAAGCCTATAAAAAAAATTGGATTAAAAAAAGTAAAAAGAAAAACAAAACCAAAAAAAAAAAAAGGTGACAGCTGAGTTTGAGGCAGCAATTCGACTTTAAACAGGATGTGGCAATCCTAAGGATCATATGCCACAGGCTATCCCATCCTTTTCCAGACAGCATGTGTATTTACATGCGTGGTCTTTCCACGAGATGGATAAACAGACAGGGCTTTCTTTTTCACTCGGCTTGTAGCACACAGGAGAAAAACAGCCAGGCTTGCCAGCTTGCAATTATACTGTGAGATACAGGAGATAAGGAAGTTCTTATTAAGGTTAAACACAAGAATACATTTTCTGCCTGACAAGCACTTAGCAGCAGGGAATCCTGTTGCTCCACCTAACCCCCCGTATGGAAATGAGTGCCTTCACTTTTGTTGTGCAGAGGATCTGGATAAACCCCGCTCGGGTTTCATCGCTCTGCTGTGGGCAGGGAAAACATAGATGCTCTCAAGTAACACAAAGAACTTGCCGGACACGAAATGCTAGGTCACTTCACTGCAGTTTAAACGCAGCACTTGGGTCAGTACTCCAAGGACAGGCCAGCTAGTCTAGCCTTTCTATTATTGTTCTGTAGTTAAAACTAACTTTTTCCAGTTTAAGGCTTCTGCAAATAACACAGTGCACCATGCTGACGCTGCCGAGACCAGTGCCAGCGGTCGCTGGGATCTCCTTCCTCCCTCTCTCCATGGTATCACAAAGATTTACTCTTCTGGGGCTGCCTAGATGCACCCTGGTTTACAGACGGTGGTTTCTCGTGGCTCAATCCTCCCCATGCTACAAGATCACCTTAGAAACTTCTGCTTTATGTACAGAAGCTACTATTAGGCAAACAAAAGATGTCACTTGGGTAGCAAGTGACAGGAAAACATGGATGTTTCGTGAGACAACAGAAAACACTCCAACCTGTCTTGAACCACAGCATCCCAAGAAGCAAAAGCAAGATGATTAAGAATCAGGGTGGAAAACCAGAGGCTTCCTCCCGAGACAAACTGTGTCTTTCTAGTCTCCAAGTCCCCACGGTCACGCAGCAACAGGAGTGTGGGCAATAGCTCCAGGTAACAAGGGGCTGGTTTATGCCTCCTGGCTGAGTACCAGCACTCATTGAATTGTCTCCAACAAGTCTGGGCAGTTAGAAGGACGCTGTCCCGCCTGCACCTCCCCAGGCACTTTTTTTTTCATCAAACTAGAGGGATTCTTTTATTTCTGAGAGCTCTAATTGACCATCAAATGCACCTGAAATGAGCCAACGAATTCAAAAGTTACCAGAGCCGTTATGCTTCAGGAGGATGGGTGCATGGGAAAGGATGACTTGCATAATTGTGTGAGCTCTGCTTCCTTTAGAAACCAGGAGGAGAAAAAAAGATCAAATTACACCCACGTACCCACCTTTATTACTGACAGAACCAGAGCTGCTCATTTTGAAATACTTTAAAATAAAATTTCCTTTTCACTCTTTGTGCTATTTGTCAACTTTTGACACTTCACTCAGCTGGAAGGATAAATGTTAAACTAATCAAATCTGTGCTACTGCCACTCAGTTACCGGGGCAGACTTTCTCATAAAGGGCGGTTCTTGAAGGCACCATGAGAACTCCAGACTAGCTTTTTAGAAAAGAAACCTGACACAGAATCAAGAATTTTCTTCAGATAATCTACCTGTGTACAAAATACACATACTACCTTTGAGAGAAAAACTGCTTTTTTTAGGGTAAAATACTGGCTGAAAGTTGCTGCTTTGTCCCAGGATAAATATTTTTAAAGCAAGTTAACTCATGTGTGATAATTTGCACAAAATAAAAACTCGGGGAACATAAGACAGTCTAATATTTATCATGTGTTAAAACATCAAGGTCAGCCTTTAGTCTCAATATACTAAACCTAGCTTCATGAGCATTTTTTCCTCTTGCCATGTGGGTTTTAAATTCAGGTTAAAAAAAAAAAGAGACAAGGACTTACTTTACAAGAAACCTCTCTGCCAGTACTGTAAATCAAAGACATTTAAAAAGTAAACCAAACATACCATCTCTTTCCTTATGCTTTAAGACAGTTTAACCCAAGCCTCATGGTCCAGGCATGTATTTTCAATCAAAATTGTTGAAAAGACTTATATTTCTGTATCTGTGTTGTGTGTTTTGTTTTGTTTTGCTTTGTTTTTTTCCCCTCAATACAAACCTACCTCAAAGCTTTCCTGAGAAACGAGTCCAGAATGTAGCTTTCAGAACATAAGCGTTTGTTTCAGGAGTTACACGAGTGGAAATTTCAGCCCAAACTCTGCTGCCCCAACATACATCCCCCAAGAGAGACGATGAACGACAGCTTCCTTACCTGTTTCAGCAAATTGCATGACAGCGTGAAAATATCAAATAAGGATGAATCTCGGAAAGAAGAGGCTATTTTCCTGTGCTTGGTCAGTGGATGAGTAGTATCCGCCTGAGCAGAGAGAAAACCAGCGCTTAGAAATGCCGGGCAGAGGGGGAACAAGACCAGCAGAGCCCGCAGGAACCCTGTTAAGCATCGGGACACCAAGGTTTCCCTCCCCAGAGTGATGTCACACCGGTTGCCTAAAGCAGGGGGCTGCCCTCCCCCTGCAGAGCAGTGGTTTTTCCACGGATAAACTCAGCTTGCTGGCTGACAACAGGACTTTCCACCTACAGTACTTACAATGCAGTTTCACTGTACCCCTGCCAGAAAGCAGAGCTGGGTTTACTCTCAAGTTCACTTAAATCTCTTCCGGAGCAGGACCAACAGCAGTATTTTTAACAGCACTTAAGTCAGTTTAGGAACTTGAGCACTGCTTTCTAAAGCGCTCCAAACTCCTAAGAGTTAAATCCTACCTGAGGCCGCTGGGCAGACACATGGTCAACTACCAGCAATTATAATTCCCCTCCTGAACCTGCACAGATGAGAAGAAAACTAGAAGGAGAGTTAACCAGTGACAGCCAGTTCAGACTTTCCTGTATCTGTTATAAACTCCAGTTCTGGACCTCTCACTGTACTGGAATAAAAAGCTGGCATATGAGGCAAATAGACACATTTTGCTTTATACTGGGTAACAAAATCTCCAACTGATTCAACCAATGTGTTCTAGCACGGGCCAGCACAGGTGTTCAGCAGCACAACTCATGTCACTTCATAGAGTATTTTCTAGGAAGAGAGGAAAAGTGAAGTGATACTTCACATCTTTGCCATTTATTTGAACACAGGCTGGAGAAATTCCACTTGCCCAGGATGAGTTCTCTGGTGGGCAGTCGGTTATCACAGCACATCTGGGATGGAGCCTTCCCACAGCCCAGTGTAGAGGCACACTGGATCCCCATTTTCTTTTACACTTTTGTTACTATACCTGTGTTAACCTTAAACATGCACACACGTCACCCAGTACGGCAGGAACCAGTACAGCCCGACACATTCCGGACCTCACTTTAACGTTCTACCCTTTACAACAACCCCATGGAGGACACAAACACTTTTGTCTCTTGTATTACACGTGAGAAAGAGAAGCCCTGCACCACCTAGTAGCAGATCAGAATTGGATCTAAACTTGCTAGGTGCTCTGACAACTGGATTATCACTCCTCAGCTCACAGTATTAGATTTCAGGGTCTTTAAGAAAATGAGCATTACAGATCTCATGTACTTCTGGGCTTGTGGCAAATGAGTATTTCCCTTTTCTTCATCGTGAGGTCACGTGGCTTAAATCAGTGAACTTCTACAATACGGTGGATACTCAGTACCTCCGGGCAAGTCTGTGCAGCACTCACAGGAGGAAAACTGATACTTCAAAACAGTTATTAGCATTCTGTTTTATTCGTACTGTGAGCTTTTGGAACAAAAGCTTTAGTAAACAGAACTCTAGAAAATTCAGCTCACATACAATGTAGTTGGAAGTTTAAATAGTTACCAAAAACAAAAAATCTGAAGAGAAGGCCCATAAGAGGTTTTTTAGGTGGGTTTTTTTTGCTGTGTACACGTACATGACCCCACTCTGATGAGCAGGCATGTTGGCAGATTGATTATTTCGCAAGTAATCGCAGTTTTAGACTTTCTAAGATGAGTCACTGAATCCAGGCCTGTGCAATTGCTGTCACAAAACACATTTAAGAATGAGTAGTAAACTGTGGCAGATTTAATATCCAAGGTATCAGGAAGAGATTTTTTGATCAATGTCTTTAACTTTGTTGCTTATTTTAGTATCAACCTGTAGGGACTCTGGAACTGGGTTAGGTGGCAGGTCCTGTGCCGACCATTCTCAGAAGCTGCAGCCCTGTACAAGGGTGCTGGTAGACACGTACTAATTTATAGAGGCAAACAGACTTGCTTTCATCCCTGATGCAAGGAGGTGAGGGAGCAGCCCTCTGTGGAGATGGAGTTAGGGTTGTACAAAGTCTGGGCAAGGAAATGGTAACAGCAACAAGACACGGCTTGGGAGTTTGGAAGAGATCTGTGGGTTAGGATTTACTGATCAGGCCAGGCTTGAAGAATTAAAGCAAATTTAGGGTCTGCAATGGATGTAGAAGCCATTCAGATGATGGCGCAGGGCTTGGGAAGTTCAGAGGTGCTGAACTTCATCAGGTTCAGCAGAAGAAATTGGTGCTTTGACCTGGCTAGGACAAAACCTTCTCCATTCCCAGTTCTGAAAAAAAATTGTAATCATCCTTCAAATCCCACTCAAGGATCTCTCTGTTCCAATGCCTGGATTAGTCAACATACCAGCAAAAATGAAAGGTTAGTTTTCTTAGTAAGATGTTAAAATCAGCCTGGTCCTCTTAGCAAAATTAAGAGACATTTATACACATGGCAACCCTCACGTTGTCTTAGGGCTGTGATGGTGCTACAGCAAAGTCTGACTGATCAGGAAAATGATGTAAGCTTAGATAGCACCAAGTAAAGCCACTTGTTCCATCTTTCAACATAAATACCGAGAGGCAGCTTTGCAAACCAGCTCACTAACCCACTCAGACAAGACTTGCTGCTGCTGGCACGAGTGGGTGCTGTGCCAGAGCACCACGGCCTCGGCGTGCCCAGTCCTCCTCCTGCCAGTACCCCAGGGCTGGGGCTGCAGAGGGGACCCAGCACTCAGCCCCCATAAGCTGGCAGAATCTGGGAACTACCTGCTGGGAACGCTATGGAATTTAGTACTGAACGAAAAGGACGCTTTAAAAAAAATCTGTTAAGGTAAACCCTCTTTGTTTCATCTCCCTGGTCAATACAGAGGAGGGCATACTCCGTCCACTTCTTGGCACAAGGATGCTGGAAACTGAAACAACGTGCAGGGACTGACAACAGAAGGTGCTGGGGACGTCCTCACGTGCTGGGCTTTGTCCTCACTAGGTGTCCTTGGCTAGTTGCTTAGCATTGTTCTTTTCCTTTTTCATCTCAGAAGATTACATCAAAATATGAGAGAAGATGGAAGATGCCAGTGAAACAAAACAATTCCTCAGGACAGGAGGTTTCAGCATCTTACCACAACAGTAAGTGGCTGCGTAAAAAAAAAAATAACAAAAAAAAGAAAAACACCCACCACACAACACCCCGACAAACCCAAACAAAAACCCCCAAACGATGCACAGACACACAGCAGGACACAACAATATGAATGAGAAAATTGGACACTTACTTCACTGAGGAAGGCTGTAGCACTTACTTGATTAATTTCATTAGTTAGTTGGGACAGGATTGTCACTCCTATGATGCAGTGCTCTACACTATCCTGGGGGAGGAAAGGGGGACAGGGAAAGCAGTTAGCAGTGCCAGGATGATTTCATTAAGCTTCACCATCACTCAAAGACCTTTCTGCTTGGAAGATTTCTAGACATGTTTGTCTAGAAATGCTTTATCTTTGCAGTACTGTGACTGGAAAAAAGCCCGTAAGCAATCCCAAGCAGAGAATTTAAAAGGCGCTTTTAAGTACTCGATGTTGTTAACAGTGCAAAGGGCTCTGAAGAATTCAGTAACATGAGCTAATAAAAATAGGCAGCTTTTATTTAATAGTTGAATCAGCATTTTGGTGTTATGCCCTAACTCTGAAAAGACTTATTTAGATTTACCTTTTTAAAATCAGTTTGCTTAATTTTAACAGAGCCTGTGGTTTTAAAACACGTGGAAATTTCTGCAACGTTAGGATGAGTATTGAAGTTGCCAGATGAAAACTCTGGGAAATTAACTTCCCCCCAACCCAAGTGTTTACCATTTTGCA